ATAGCTCTGCAAAACATTTGCTTGATTTACACTACTACACTGCTCTGCGAAAATTCGTTAGGAAAGATGTTGGAATTAATTGCAGAATGGTACGATTGTGAGATGATTTCCGGCATGCATTTAGGACTAAATCTTACTTTAACAAAGAATACTGATCATCAGTATCATTTAAAACTCGAAATTCTGAGAAAAGATTATAAACTGCCTGTTCATAACATACTTGTGTACAGCTTCACCAAATCCTCCGAACATGTTTTGATAATCCGTAACTTCCTTGAGCGTAGTTGGTTTTTGAGTTTTTACGAAATGCACCAATACTTTCTTTAAAACATAACCTTTTTAAACGAAAGGATCCAAAAAGCTCATAGAGCGAGGGAAAAGTCAAATGTGGTGAAAGCCTTTCAATGAAAGTTTTATTCAGATTATCGATAATTATGCAAACTTACAATGACGAAATTTTGAAGTTTTTCAGCGGCTAATTTATCAACCGTGTTAGGTTTGTTTGACATTACCCTCCGAAGATCGTTGTGCAGCTGAGCAGCTCGAGGGATCACTACAGAATGCACGGTCTACAACAAATTTAATATAAGTTTAAAAGTTATGAATTTGGGCATAACTATTATGCAAATACTTGAAATGTCTAGTGGATTTCGAGATATATATACCTTTCTTATTAAGAAGCAAAAACCAATTCGGGCTGGCGAAGAAATACGCCAATAATGATTACACAAGGTAAAAGTTCTGTATAACGAGCGCCACTTTATATATTCATACACTACTTAAGCCTAATAGAATTTTCATAATGAAAAGACGTACGTCAACGCCGAGCTCGTTTAGGGCGTACAGTGACCCGTACAATGCCGCAAGTGTACAATTTTCATCACGCCAAACTTGGGCAAGTACTTGAGTTACACGCGATCGCAAATGACTGATTTTGTACGACCTGAAAATTTCAATTGCAGCATGAAAGCTCTTTCCATATAGTAGTTGGAGGAAAACATTTGCAGGACTCAATTTTGATTTACGATAGGATTATAAAAAACCAATGCATATTTCAATGGCCAGGAAAATATTGCTAAACAACTTCAGTTTTCTTTTATATATTATGCATAAAGCCCTACCTGCATATATTGGCTAACAAACGACTGGAAAATTCGCGTAATGCCCAATGATTGTCTGTTTCTGGACGAGCACACAATTGTCGACTCAATATGCAGGACAGTACAGAAGGCAGCAACTCATGCAACTATAACTTCAGGATTGATAATTCAAATAATTAATGAATAAAAACAAATTGCTCTCATTAAGAAAAAACCGGCCGAAAAGTTTTACTGTAACCAAGACTGGTCATCTTCCATACGGACTCGTTAGTTCATTCTCCTTTAAATGTTAGGAATTAAAAATCGCTTAAAAAAAATATTAATAACTGACACAGCGTTCCAACGACAGCGCTGGATTATTTGCCAAACTCTGGATCATTCTCATCAAATATATCAGAATAGCCAGATTGTGTTGCACAATATTGCATCGAACCTTAATTTAAAAAAATGCAGTAAAGATTTGGAACAGATGCAACCATGAAATATTAATGATAAAAGATTTATATAACAAAAGGAAGAAAATAAAAAAATTGCAAAGTAAAAGAACGAATAAGCAGCCAACCCCTTCAACAATTGCCACCGAAAACCTAGGCAGTAACTGTTGCAAACCCGCATCTGTTTGAAGGCTGTACAGTGCTTCCTGGAAATCAAGAATAAGGATTACAAATTTCACAAATTATAGGAATGAAATTGTGGCTCGAAACATTCATACCACTGGAAAATGAAGAATATCAAATGAATGAAGTATAGAAGCCAAACAAGCGTATTATATCAAATGAATGAAGAACAAGAGATTAAACAAGTTTACCGTCCTTCTTGTATCATCACTGCCCATAATAGCTTCGGTGATTTCTTTAAAGAATACCTGCTGTTCCTGAAGAAAATTAAGCCTATGTTAGAACAAATGGGTTTTCTTATTCATACGAAAGCCAATCACAATAAGATCAACAACATAAGACCTGACTTGTACAATGCCAGATTTACACAAATGATAGAACAGCGAAAACTCTAACAAGCTCGGGAAGTACTGACGGAACAATTAGTATTTTGTAGACCTAAAATTTGACGAAAATAAAAATAAAAATACACCGAGCGATAAGTCTAGCCAATTTAGTCGTGTCTTTCGCTGACTGCCTATCTCAAAGACCAAAGAAAGCTTTCAAAAACCAAGAAATGTATATGATGACATATCAGATCGTTAAATTTGGCATATATATTTCTTTCTTGTATGATAGGTAACATCATTTATGGTCATGGTGAGAAATTAATAAAAGTATTCACAGCAATTGAATAACGCATCAATCCATAATTCGTAAGTAAAGCAAAAACGAACGACAGACAGTGCGTGTGTAGAAGTTGTTTTGATTTGTACTTGCTCGGTTTGTTGCAGGCCTCTGTGTGCCTTTGATAATATCGATAGACCCGTATCAACTGTTGCCTTTTCAATAGCAACTACTACTGGTGTTTCTTTCTGTACCACAGGAGCTGGATTCTCCGGTACAGCTGGTTGCACACCATCAATCACCAACCAGTGAGCTGAAACGAAGAGTTATTCTTGAACCTTATGACGCTACATAATGAATGCAAATACTCTTTTTCTTTCCGAAGAATTGAAATTACCAGGAAAAACACAACCTCTAAAATTATTTTTTGGGAAAGGAGAACACCTATTAAGAACTTACATTTAATATTGGTTTCAAGAGGTAATTTAGCCGCAGGCGCATTAACTACTGGTGTGATTTCGACATCGCGATCATCCGTAACAAAAAGATCACGTCCCATTGATCCAGCAAAACGGAAAGGTAGTCCTTCTTTCACGGTAAAACCAAATAAAGGCTAGAACAATGCATTTTAATGCACATCATTCCTAATTCCAATACCAAAAAGTGTATAAATTTTTAATTTCTGAAGGTCTCATAAAAATTAATACCGGATAGCCATCCATTGCAAGCGCTGAATCGATGTCTTCAGCTGTGACACGCTTACGACGACCATGCACAGCGAATTTCTTTGCATGTTCAATTACCATCTGAAAATGAAAATTTACCAACCAAAGATATCTGCAGTTACTGAAAAAAACCACATGCTTCTCCGATAACATGTTACCTTCACCGCATATGTCGTTTGAACTGCTATTTGAGATGCGCAAACATCGGGGAGCCCTGCTATACCAACGGATTCTGCTACTACCTATAATTCAGGTCTGAACTTTATACTAAAATTCACAGGAAGAAAATGAATCACTGTATAATCCAAGTTTTCAAAAGCAAGAAGAGCAAAAGAGACTGCATTTAATGACAATAAAAAGAAAGGGAAATTTTGGCCAATTGTGTAGCAAAAAAAAAAAGCAAGTCAAAATGAAAACTACCTTAACATACGAAATGCCATATTCCGGATCCACATTTGCTGCTCCAGAATTGCTGGTGTGTGTATTTGTTGTACCTAAAAACAATTAATAATGTGAGTTGATGAAAATAAAATATATAAAACCTTGGAAAAGACTTGAAGTTAAGTAATACTTTACAGAATCAAATATACACATTTCTACGAACCACTACCTAAAACAATTTCGGTTTCTTCGGCACAAAGGTAAAAATGCGTCAACAAATGGAATTTTTTTCGAAGCACTGTGAACTCCCTCATATAAATTATTAGGATTGCTATGTTGGGAGACTTCTGGTCACTTAAACTGTCACACACTTCCTTATTTAATTAGGTTCTGCTTCGAATTTCGCAATTATATTTGGCAACCCAAACTACAGTGCGTTGACTGGTTAGCCAACCACCGATCAACAGAACGGTTTATCTGACATATTCTGTCAACGCTAAAAACGAAAAAAAAGACACATAATAACCCATAAGATAGTCGAATAACTCTTAGTAACCAAATTTCAACACTCTTCATGAAACGATTAATAAAACAGCTTGCGAAAAATCATACCAGAAATATGCAACTCAGTCCCCACCCCAATACAAATGATAAATACCAACCAGATGTGCTAGCAACATTCTGATGGCCACCATTAATTACACGCTGAACATTATTTGGCATTACACCGTTTCCACTGTTGCAGTGCTAAACAGCGGGATTCAGAAAATCAACCGCGTTTATCACGATACCTCACGAACTATTAGGACTTAAATATCAATCCACAAATCCCGAATTGGATAAAATTTCACATTCAAAGTAACTGAAAATAAACAGCTTAAAAGTGAAAATAGCATAATATAAGTGCTGAAAAGGATGAACTCGATGTGTCCACAGCCAGAGATCAGCATTTGATTAAAAAAAACTCACCTGTAACGGATCAATCACCGACACTTTCCTTATACGCTAATATCAATACACGTTTGTAGATATTTAACACGAAGCACATGTATCAAACTATGTGAACAACAATATCCATATTTCATGGATAAGCTAACACCACATACTTCATAATTACTAAAAATTTTCGAGAGATTTTTAATTTCAAGTAGACGTCTTCACATTTGCAACGGAAAGTATATGCATGGTGGTTAACACCATCACTTAAACCACAGGATTACAATTAAGAAAAAGTAATTTACCTATACGATCAAATTGGACAATAAAAGAATAAAAGCACATAAAAAGACATTAGTAAAAAAGTACATTCCAAATTACAGCGGTAGCTTTTTAAACAAAAGACAGTGTATTATAGCTTGAAATAGTTTTGCTTAAACAAATATAATAAAGGAAGTAAAACAAATGCCTCCATCCTCCTTCTTCCAAAGGAAAAACGCGAAATACCGCCAAGCTTACCTACAATTCGCTTTCAAATTTTAAGGGACAAGAATCAGAAACAATTTTGATAAATTAAAGCATTTCAATAGGCTAAAATTAAGGATGAAACATTATAAAAAGATAAAACGAATGATCCGATAGCTAACGGTACTAGGACACATATGTAACTGGGAAATAATATCATTTCACTAATCGAGAAACAGAAATATCCTAACATAACAAAAACCTTGCGCTTGAAACCAAAAAACTGAAAATTTTATAGATAGATAAAAGAAACTTGCTGCAAACCGAATGCTAACTTGTTTCAAGAAAAACAGCACCCTCTAAATCTTTCAAATACAAAGGTTCCAAACAAACAGACAATCTCTTCATGAAGCAAAAATAACAAAACTGTAACACAGCAGAACAACCGAGCGAAAATACCATCAGAGTCATCGCCTTTGATCACCCGTCCTTTCTCAATACGCTGTTAATAATATGTGATAATTCTTTCTCCAGGAGTGGCAAAACAATAACACCTTCTTCATCTATGAATGCTCCTATAGATTTTAGGACCTGAAATGTTGGACAACACTTTCCTAGTAAAAACGATTAGAGGCAAGATTTAAACTTGCTGCTGCCATATCTCTTTAACCAGTTCAAAACATTAATATATAAATAGTTTGCGTAATATCTAGAATAATGAATTCAATCACATTTTGGAGATAGCATGACATAGAGAACCACTAATTTTATATTTTATTTGAATATACTGCCAAAGCGGCAGTATACTATAGGCAGTTTCCCTTTATTTATACCTAAATTCAGGGTATATTATTAGCAGACAAATTTATAAAAAGTTAATATGGAGTGTACAACATATTTATAATTCTGAAAAAAAATACTTTGATGTATCCCGTGCGCGATTCTTGCATGTATTCGGCTTCCAGGGTATACTTGTCATCATATCTAAAAAATCGGTGGACGATGATAATATCAAAAGTTTTTCAATTACAGAAATTCCATCTGTATGAAATCAGCAGAGATTATTTGAATAAAATAAACTAACTTTTTGATCGATGATGACCATTTCCAGTATCTTTTCGGAGTCCGTCCATTTAGATCTATTTCCACGCCTTGATAGAAAGTACCTTTTTCAAAGTACCATTGATAAAATTGCAAAACACCCATTAATATGAAATATGTAATGGAACACGTTGCAAGTACCTAAAATTTCCATAGAACAGCTTATTTTGTACTATAAAACAACCTAAAACTAAAAAAACAAATGAATGATTAATATCTCGACGCTATGTATGCAATAAACAATGGATAGATATAAAGAATTTACATCACCGGTATAATACCAAAAATGAAAAAGAAATCACCGGTTTCGATCTTGGAAATGGCTCATAATAATCGTATATGAGGGCAACTGCAGCAAAACCAACAGCAATAGTAGATATTATCAGTCGCCCATCTGCTAGTGCATGTCTCTCAGTCCAAGTGTCATATTTTTCATTAAAAATCTAAATTTTTTTTTTTTCATGAACAGAAAAATTATTTTCACAATATGCTACTAAAAGCCTAACTCGAGGTGAGAGGATACAACTTAGCGCTCCGACTTGAAACTTTTCTGGAGAATGAGTTGATAACCGAGAGCAACTTTTGCGGTTCTATTTCCAATACTTCATGTTCAAAACATAAATTTGTTTTGACCTTTCTAACTGCATCGTCAATTGTGTTTCTTACGCTTGGTCCATCCCACTTATTGACTCGCAGTTGATCAACAGATTTATCCATCACTGTTTTAGAAACTCCACTACTTTGTGAAATCTGGAAAAAGATTTAGAAAATATCGTGTTTAGACTATCGGAATGTTACAGTAATGGGTGTTCCAGGTGTCAATTCAGGCTTGTTAATTTATAGAATGGCAACTTATTATTTTCTCTCAAATCACTATTTCCCTGTGTTCCCTAGATGCAAAAAAAAAAAAAAAAAAAAAAACAATCCATAAATTAACTGACAAACACAACCAATAAATAGTAAACAAAGACTTAAATGTAAATAAAAGACGGAAGGGAAGAAATATGAGTTACTTCTCCTTATATTTTGAAGGATTTAAATATAAATAAATCAAAGGTTCTCACACAAACAAAACAGACTTACTTTGGATGGCATAACTGTAACTCTTTCGTTATAAATACTGTCTGAAAACTGAAAAATATTTAAAATTGAAAAATGTCTTTAAATCGAATCATCCATTACCATAACATGCCACGTAATATTAATGAAGGAAATACGATATCTTGATGGAGTCAGCAATGTCCAAAAAAGATGTCGACTGTGATTTTTGCTTTAGTTGAAGCTTAACTTTACCTTAGCTCAATTTTTCTGAATGAATTAGAAATTCTACAACGATTTTGTACATTACTGAAAATGCAACAGGTGTCATGGACAAAAAAACGAAATTCACGAAAACTTGAAAACACACTTTGCAACTTTCCAGGACAGACATAATAAACCTACCACTTCCTATCAAGAAAGATGCAAAAAATAATATTTCATCATTTCGTTATTTATGAAATGTGATCAAAATTAGGGATTTTGAAGTCGTTTTCTCCATTACTGGTTTATTGTGGATAATAGTTTAATTTGTGTGCTCTACGTCAAATGAATGAATTTGAGACATAATCAGCAAATAGTGATACAGCAGTACTACGAAAACATAAAAACTTCAGTAACTGAATATTTTAAAGGACTTCTTCTTATTTCATGCCTTCCGGAGTGCAGCAAGAAAAAAATTAATAGTTGGAATTTTTGACCGATGTGCTAAAGATAATTTCCGAAATATTTACAATCACTTATTCATCACTTGTCACAAAAAAATCCGACGATTCTTTTCAAGGATAAAAAATTATCTTAGTCCATAGCGCCGTATGTTGCCAATTTATGTGTGTTGGAAGAACCACAAATTACTTAATTACGTCATTAATTTACAACCAGACAACTTCAACATTTGATATCCAAAACATTTTGTAAACTATTAATTTTAAATTCATAGCTTTTCCAGAAAACCGCGTTTTATTGAATTGTACTTACGACCCCAAATGATCTATCTTTTCCGGAATTTTCATATCCGTACACTCCGGTATACGTTCGAAATTCTATGCCTACGCTAGAAATGCGGTAATCGTACCGCCTAATAACACACGTCACCATGGTGCTAGGGTAAACTACCAGACAGAAAAGGAACTCCCTGGTCTAACATTTGACTTTGGTTGAACGTTAAAGATAAATTAGAGAATATGTAAATGTGAGAGGACAAAAGAAGAGCAGAGATTCTCATTGATATTGGAAAACTTCCAACTACGGTTTTACAACGAAAACATGTTTTTCGATCGATATTTTCTGGGGTTGATGGTAGTATGCGTAATTGTCATTTGTTTGCATAGGGTTGTCTGGTTGAGTGGTCGTTTGTTGCGTATTCGGCGCTTTGTTTACGCGTTTATGTGGGGGCGTACATTACGTGGTTTAGACTTGCGTTTGCGTGTGTCTTTTTGCGTTTTCACGTATCATTGTAGCTTTTTTCCCATCTAGCATGAATTTTTTCTGCCGCCACTGGACAGCGCTTATATAAAGTTTTGTACGTTCTACGTTGTGTTACTTGAAGTTAGTAACCAGATTTTACGAAATATTGTAGCTGCTTCTAAGCTAAATTTGTTTTAGGGGAGTTGCGCTTCTCGTATCTCTAGTAATCTTTTTGACTGCTTCGCATGCAGTCGTCCTTGGGTACCCAGAAGGCAAATTTAGTAGAATATTATTCAGATGTATTGTATTCTAACTAGCGTGTCCTAATTAGTTTTATGAGGAATCGATGCGATATGTTTTCGTACCTGTTGTATTTTGAAGTAGTGGGGATTTTGCAATCGTATTGCATAAAAAAGTCGAAGGTTACGTTAATTTTATTTGAGATCTGTTTACAGGTTGCTGTGGTTGTCTCATTCTTTGGTCTTTTGTCTGTTTTCGAACAAAAAGTGTATCGTGAAGCATACATTCAAGTTTTGCCAGTCAGTACACGTTACCAGTTATTAATTTAGCAAACCTCCTACTACTATTGAACAATGAATAATAGCATTGTTGATAATAAACTTAATATGTCATTGGGTAAGTTCTACTCACTTTATTGTTGCGGTCCTAGTAGAATTAGCGATTCCGGCTTTAGTAATTTTATAAGACTTTCGGATTTACCAGTTTTTCTCTTGTTCCACTTAATTTTCAATAAACTTGTTTGTTCAACTTCGCTGAATCAATTCGGTTTGTATGGAGTTGCTTGTCTTTTCTTTTTTTCCTTTAGAATTTCAAATGCATTTTATCTTTTGGTTTTTTAAAAAGAATTTTCATTTTGCAGATGATATAATCAAAAAAGAGCGTAGGGTGAAACAGCGACAACAGGGTAATAGTGTACAAGGGGCAGCAGGGAAACGTATGGTGGCAAAGCGCATTAACAAGGTGATTTCTGGTCTCAGTGTATTTTTCTTCCAGATAAATGGGAATTACTTGTAAATATTTGCTATTCAAATTGAGTCATCAAGTATCACTGTCATTTACGCAGTTAATGTGGCGATTGACTGAATTTCGTGCTAAAAATTGAATCGTGGCTTTGTGTGTATAATTATCTTTTACCCGCTTTTATAGTATTTGCAAAGAGAAAATAATGAAATGTATTTAGGGTAAGCGACCAATCGCTGCGCGTTCAGTTACACGTAGAAACCGCCAGCAAACTGCTGTAAACGGTGGTCTTTCCGCAGCAACTGCGATGAAAGTTGTCAACAGACTTGTCAAGGTATCTTTTTCATTTAATTTTGGTGAAATTCATATTCTGTCTTGTGTTTTTGTTTACTGATGGTTTTGAGTTTTTATATCAGGCATGGTTTTGCATGGTTTAATTTTGTTCATAATCAGTATTAGTTTTATCTAACTGTTATCGTTTAGAAAGCGATTCGACGACGGGCCAATCAGTCGCTCATAAATCGTGCGGTGACATTGCGTCGCCGCGCTCTTCGACGGAATTCTGCTGTGAGACCAGCCGTATGTTCAGCTGCCATTCCTCTTTTTGTATGGACTTCAAATGAGTTGGAAAACGCTTTTCACACAGGGCCCAGCTGCGTTATAATATGCTGTTAAATGATTGGTATCCAGTCGTTTAGAAATTATCATCGCGGAATTTGACGGTTCGAAGCAGCACTAAAAGTGACTGTGAACAAAGATGACGTCGAAACTAGAAACAGGAATTGTTGTGGCATGATGCTACGTCAAATTCATACGTCTCTTATGATGCAGTTTTGTTGGCGATTGCCTAGCTTCTTATATCACATCACATAGCTTTAACCGCAGGAGGAGGAGGAGGAGGTTTGCCGTCAGGATGCCAAAGGCACTGAACCAGCCCTATTATTATTATTATTATCATTACCATGAAACAATGATCTTTGATGGGTTCTTGACTTGACGTTTTGAAAATTCTACCGAATGTGGGTGATCGTCGCCATTTACTGTACTGTACACACCAGACGGACAATGATTTTAGGAAAAAAGTTACCGATCGAACTGAACGGTATGATGAACATTTGGTGAAGTTTTTTGTTCGTTGTTGATGAGTTTTGAACGAATTGAAAGCTTTTATATCCAGCGTTTTTTTTTTCTCTCAACAGTTTCATTACTGCGGCTTGCGTCGCACTTTGTGTGAAGAGTAGAAAAGACGTTTTCAAGATTCAAGGAGTTTTTGTGAAATGTGCAGTAATTTTATAGGTTATTGAATTAAGGGGTTCAGTGTGGGCAATGTTCATTTTCAGGTGGGAGGAATACGTGCACGTAGACAAGCAGCAGTTGTGGGGTCTCGCCGCCTTCTGGGCCGTTTATCAGGTGTTAGTCAGCGATCACGAGTAATTCGTGGAAATCTCGGAAGGAGGGCACGTAGACAGCCAATGGTCTTCACTTCGCCTCAGGTAGGACTGATTCGTCCTTTAGTCGTAGTGTTTTTTTTCGAGTGCATTACTTTCTGCACTAGTTTGCTTGTTGTTTCAGGTGGTACGCGGTCGAGGATTATCACATATGGGCCAACTTGCTAGTGATAGTGAGACATTCATGGTTGAACAGCGTGAAATGTTTGTAAATTATTCAGTCAATATATCATCTTTCGTTTTTTCCATTAAGTTTGCGGTATGGTTTCAGTGAGTTAATGAATACTTTTCAAACTCACATCGGGGGAAAATAAACTGATGATACCATTGGTCATGGCAACTATCATGTTTGTAAGGTCTTACGTTGATTGCAGTACCCGTCCAGTGCTTCAACAAAAGTTCTTACATCGCGAAGTAATGGCTGCACAACCACATCGTGAAGTTATCATGCAGCGTCGTGCACGTCCAGTGATAGTTGAACAGCAGCCCATAATTATTCGTCGTGGTGGAATACGTAAACGTGCTATTTTAAATGAACCAAGTGTTGTCGTTGTAAGAAATGCGGTACATTTCTCGAATTATTTGTAAGAAGAAAAGATTTGTCTTCAGACTATTTTTGGTCATACTTCGAAATTTTTTTCGATCATAGTGTAATGTTTTAGCCGCGACAAGTTCAGTTCCGCACACAACCTGGATTTGGACGTGTTCAGCGTATCGTCGACATGCGTCCAAATAACCGTATAATTCGCAAGACGCAGTATGTCAATCCAAATGCAGCGCAGATGCGTAAAGCTTTGGGAATTGGTTTACGAAGAGTAAGTTTTCATGAGTTATGATTGATTCCTTTATGAGTTGCGTCCGAAGTATACACTTTGTTGTGCTGTTGGTGTTAGCGGTAATTATTAATCTCCATATTTCATTTGGTAAGTCTCTGTGTTTCCTGGATGATAGGTGTTCTATCAAAAATTACGAGGACGTTATTTATATTCTGTGATTTGTGTAGGGTGCTTTCTCTGTGATGGATTGCTCTTCATACCATTTTCTATTTAAAAATAACGCCTACGTTTCTTTCTGTAATTTTGGGAATTCCAGTCGGAGCCACAACGTTTCGAATCGAGCAGCACATTTCTTCAGCGTATACCTGCAGCAAATCGTCGAGGACGTGGTTTTCAGGATGTAATTTACAATTAATCCAATTTTTTTCTCTTCTATTGTATATGCGACAGGCCAATGTCCTGTTATGCTCATTTACTTCTTTTTCCATCAGCAACTCATTATTGCATCATTTCGAGTTAGTAATGAATGAATCCCTTTACTTTTATTTAAAGTGCAATTGGCTGCCGATTTTGCTATTCAATCTCCTATAAATCTTGTTGCAAAATTGTTAGGCATCTTCCCTTTTGCGGAAACGGAGGGATAAGTGGGTGCCATTGTCACTTTGTATTCGTTATCTTTACTGTATTTTGTGATGATACCTGCAATTGATTTCTATAAATAATAAAATTTGCACTTCAAAAATTATAGTTTAGTGGGTGAATTTGTGGAACTCTTTAAATTCAATTTAACAACGAATGAACAGCAAAGCGGATACCGATACCAGTGGAAAAAGTCTTTGGTGCTACGTGTGTAAACCTGCTACAGTTTTGGGGAGGACAGCACTTCTGCAAGCTTTTCCGCCAGTTGGTAGTTAATAGAAACATTTGTAAATTCTAAGACCTTCCGAATCATCAAACATTCTTTTTTTCTTTCACGATAGAGCCTGGAATTGTTTAAGTGGACAGAATATACCGTTAAAATGATCAGTGCATTGATGCACTCAGGAAGAAACAGTTTTAGTTATCTGGTCGATAATAAGACAAAAGTTTCAGCATCAATAGCCATGATTGGTCAATTAGTCGGGATTTACTTTTATTATATGTAATGAGAACCAAAAAATTATATTGAGTTCCACAAGTTTGAAATATCAAATGCTTTTTAGACATGAGGTTTATCTGATTTAAAAATTGTCAAGATCAAACCATTCAGAAGCATATCATGTATTCGAAAAACATCATATGCTTCGTAATGAACCCTATGAAATCGCTGGTGAAGTCAATAGGTGGGGAAGATGACTGTACAAATTCCAAAATCTTTGCAAATGTGACATAAAACGTTATATCAGAAAATAAAAAACAAAAATCCAGCGAAGGAAAAACAACCTGATATTATCAGATGCACCAAAAATTGAAATTTACAATCAACGAAATAAAAATATAAATAAACAGTGGGAAACAATTTTTTAAATAGAATTTTGGGAACTTTATAAATTACTGTAAAACATGTAAAACAGTGAAAAGGACAAGGACACACGAAAGTCGGAGTATGTTTATTATGCATTATTTTGCAATAATCCTATTCGGCAGAAACAGTTATAAATTCTCTTATGTTCTGAAATCATAACTCTTTTTTTTTAACTGGAACATAAAGATGGTTTATATGATCACTTATTTGTTTGCCTACCAAATTAATGCATTCATTTACATGAAAAATTAGCTTCGAATGCCTGCTCGACACTCTGTTAATAGAAACAATTTTTACAATAAATTATAGAATCGAAAACATAAAGAAAAATTCTCCAAATAGCTAGAATTTTTAAAATGAGAACAGAATGCTGAATTAAAAAGAAGGGATGATATGCCGGTTCCACTGAAGATAATGCTTACTGCTAAAATCGGGGAAAACAACTGGAACAAAACTGCAAGTAAGACGAAGAGCTCGATTTGAAAAACTTATAGAAAACCGTTAGTTGAAATTGGAGAAAATTATTCGTCAAAATTGGCTCTTGACGTAAACAGTAGAAAAGTGCAAGACTTTTGACAATGTATAAATTCATTACTAATCAGCACAACAGATCAAACAGCCTCTACCTCCTCATCCATAACGTCACATGTTTCCGGAAGTAAGATTTCCGGATCCACAATCTAAAAAGATTACAATGGGTTAAAGACTTCATCAAGTCCATAAAAAACTAATTCAGTTCAACTGTCAATTTCTAGACCGCAATAAGCAAGATCTCATAATTTTAAAAATAAACTTTTTTACTGGAATTCTTCAGCAATCAACAAAATTTTCGGTGATTAAACTGCGACTGAGTAGGACAACTAGAATAATTATATTTTACGTAATGACTCATATTTCATAAACCTTGTTTGGTTTTTCTTTTTTTGTGCATCTAAATAACATAGCTCATTTATTATCCTAGTTTGTGCGGTTCCCCACCCCTCTATGAGATTTTGTACCCATAGGCTCAGAAAATTCCAAGAAACATGAAATTTAAATCAAGTCTACCATCAGCAAACCATACCATTCAGCAACAAACGATAGTTGGCATTACATTGATGGGTTTTATTTATTAAATTAAAATTACATGAAACTTTACCTCGAGATCACCATGTTCAATGAGCAAATGAACCCGCTTATGATAACTTTCATGTTGTTCCATTGCCTTGCGATCTGCGAAAGTTCTCAAGCAAACCTAAATCAAACATATTATACTTGTGAATTGAATAGATTCCATCCCATTTCGGTACATAGTTTCCCTACCACTGATCGGGAAAATAAATATTTTTGCAAATCCGAAAGCTTAAACTGTAAAAGAATCATAATGTCATTAGTAGTAACCTATGAAGAAAGAAGCTTACTTCGCAAAACAGTGGTCGTTCAGTCCTTGCCATTGGATGTTCAATATCAATATGTTCAACGCATTCCAACCTCGACATGAACACCACTTTACAAATAGGACAATCAAAACGTTCAAATGATAATGCACGGGCCTGCTCGAATATTTCATCAAGATTGAATGAATTTTCTTCAGCTGATTTTAATAATTCTGATAGCCGTCGCATCTACAAATGAAAACACTAGTGTGTAATTCCTACGGTTACGATTGTACGTCCCAGAATTATATCAAATTTATGGTTCAAAAGCTGCAAGTAAACACAACAAATGCAATCTAAATGACAATAAAAATGTTTCAGAAATCCAGCTAGTGAACAATTTTCAACAAAATATTTTTGTCATGATGTTAATCATCGTTAGCTTTAACATAAAATTTAAGTGATTAAAATGCTAAAATCGTTTTAGATTTTTTTTTTAATCTCATTGTTCTGATGGAAGCTAATGAAGCTAATCTTACTTCTCCGCTAATCCTCCCTCAAAATAAGTGGAGAAAAAATTCGTTTTTTGTAACCTTTTCAACTATGGGAGCACTAGGTAACAATTCCCCACGTCGGATTTTTTCAATCCATGGCCGCGCATCAGGACCTAAACCAAGTTTTCGCTTTCGTGGACGACTTGGAGGCGTGAAGAAAGGTTCACCGGCACTACGCACTATTATGGCATCATCGGGAATATCTGCTGGTGGTCTACGATTGCTGTAACGATAAAGGTATCAATTAGAGACCGCTGAAAAAATGAATGATGGGAAGAAATCGGGGACGATTAAGTTGTGATTTAGAATCCATGTATTAGGTTTAACTGCTTTCCCTTAAAAAGTCTATTTTTGGAAATTCATTTAACTGGATTTCTATTATATAGCTTTATTATTGCATGATTTTAGACAAGCCGAAGTTATCGACTCTTTTCATAATAACAAGCGATCATATACTGAAGATAAGTACAAGGTGGGAGATTATAAGCATTTCTGATTAAAACAGAAACAGTTCAAGCTATATTAACTAAATGAATAAGACAAGCCTTACAGCAAAATGTCTCTTATGAAACTTATTTATTTATGGAAATTATGAAACAAGCTTCAACAAATCTTATTTAACTTTAATGCTCATTAAAACTTGTGATAGTTGCTTGCTTACCTTGCAAATGGTTTCCATGCTTCTTCAAGTTCTTCCTTTGTTGATACATGTGTTTTCAAATGTTTTTTCAAATTACCCTTAAGCCTGCATGTTTTACCGCAATATGGACATGCATGAGGAGTAAACCCACTATGTACCGAGCGATGCTCAAATAAATTAGATTTAAAGCGAAATGCTTTCCCGCAGATATCACAGCCAAACGGTTTTTGATCTGTATGAATTACGGCATGCTGTTGCAAGCCTAAAATTATCAGATTTCATCCCTTCTCAATTCCTGTAGAAAACCATACAAACTTTAACGAAACCGGACAGATGGCGTGTCGAATGACTGATGCATATGCGTTATTCTCAGACTGAAACTTCCAAAACTATCTAGTTTTATCTTTGAAGTGTTTTGCTAGCTATCTATGTGGGTCTTAAAGAGATATGATTACTTTCCCACAAGATATCACTTCTTTCGTATTTGTATATACAATCTCACTTATAATTCGCAATTTTCGGTTAAACTTCTATCATCTATAGTTAAATGAATGTTAAACCTTTACTATTTACACTTCAGTGAATGCTAAAGCTCTCTCGCTTATTTTGATAAAAGACAATGAAAGTATTCGAAACAATCAACCTTTTCCCTGCATTCACAAAAACCATTTACTAATTGTTTTAAATCCTTTCACTTCGTGAATAACAGAAGAGACCGAGAAAAAGTCGAGAAATGAGAACTTATCAATCTCCTGATTTATTTTATAAGCATAAAAAATCGACACAGAAAAAAGTGGAACGAAAATGTTTACCTTTAAACGAAACAAAAATTTTGTTGCATATATTACACTGATGTACAGCCCGTGGTTGGGAATGATGTGGGGTGTCATCGTCCGTACCAAACTTAAAGAAAAAAGATCATGTTAATATTTTCAAAAACATCATGTTTAAACAAATATTGAAATTTTCGAAATAATCAAAATTTCATCATTATCATTCAATCGCCGAAACTATATAATCGTTTGCTAGAGATTCCAAAATTCTCTCAGTAGAAAGGGAATTCAAGTTCATGCTTTCATGAAGATCCTAAAATTTGTCATTGATTGGGAATTTTTTTAGATTTACAATTGGCAGGATATACAAAATCCATTGCAAGAAATGAAGACTTATAAATTTGAATAGGGGTAGCGGAAATTCCAAATCTATGTTACTTTTCGTCGTCCGATTAAATGAACACTCAAATTTACTTCATGTTCAGTAGCATATGTAGAATCATGAATGTTATCATCCATTCGCCGTAAATCGTCATGTTCTGAATCCATCTGCTGATGATAAACAACACCATCCGGTGTCACATGTCCTCCGGCCATATCGTTGTGATGTAAAGCCATTGTATGAACAGTACATTCAGATAGCTCAAGATAACAGGAAATCCTTTCTCCTACCACCGCACCCAGCTAATTATTTTAATATGTTAATAGTGCACACTTTCAAATCTGGAATGTTCTGAAAATCAAATTTGACTATTTAGCGAAAATACACAAAAGAATAATAACTACAATACGGTAATTGTCTCATGTTACAAACATCATCTTAGACCTAAAAAGATAAAAAGGATGAGCTATACTATCTAATATCTATCAGTTACATCTAATATTTCTGAGATAAAAAAGTAGTTATGAATGTCTTTTGCTAAACCATCATAGTTAGCTGGACTTTGAGCAGTAATAAGATTAAGTCCATAAGAAAAAACTGATTTCTTAAAATCCAGATAGTCACAATACTTATAAAGATATTCGATCGAGAGACAAATGTTAATCCTGATATTCCACTCAATTCAGCTTATCTTTTTATCTATTGCAACTTCAGATACATCACATAATCAGTTTTATTCGTTGATGCTAATTCAAAATTACTGTAATATAAGAAAAAATGGAATAAAGAAGAGGAATCGGAAGCGGGAAAATGCAAATGATAATTTCTTTTTCGATAATTTCGAAATTTAAACAATATTTATTTGTTAACATAAAATAAAGTCCACAAAATGAGTGCCTTCATT